ATTGATTACAATTATTGTTTAAAGTCATCTACTATTTAGAAGTATCTTTATCATCAATTGTCTGACAAGATTCTTCTCAAGAGTGCCCATCATAAATATCATTTTTACTCAACATAGTGCAGGTTCTTCATCTAAAAGGCATCGAGGGTCAAAATTCACTATCAAGCACAGCAACAGCAATTGCTCGCATTTACAGAGAGACTTCTTAACATCTAGGATTGGAACCATAGAGTAACTTGACTAAATCCGAGTTCTCACCCTAGCTTCTTAACTTCTCCCCTATCTTAGCTTATTTTATCTATTTGTTTAATTAGTGGTAGCTGAAACCTGATCAGTAGCTAACCAAATGTTGAAATGGGTTAATTTTATTTTGAGAAGGTAACGGATTTTATTATATTAAAAGGTAGTCCTTCGCACAAAGACTGTGCTAAGGAGTGAAATCAGTGTTACAAGACCCAAAAAGTTGCAAAAACAATCTTGTAACAGCTACAAGGAACCAACGAAATCTACTAGAGAATCTACATCTTATACAAGGTCCCGTGTTGAAATGGGTTATTAATCGGGTGTATGGAGATGGCGAGAGAGTAGAGGTGGATTATTAGTTTATTAGGTAGAGAGGAATGTATTTTTCCTCATTGCTCTGTTGGATCCCTACAACACAGAGAAATGTGTGTTTCTTGGCATGGTTGGCAGCAAGGGGAGTGATTTTGACAGCAGAAAATCTGCGAAAGAAGAGGATCACATATATCAGTTGGTGTTTCGCGTGGAAAAGCTCGGGTGAAAATGCAGATCATCTCCTATTGCACTGTCAAGTGGCAACTCGTTTATGGAGGATGGCCCTTAATTTGTTTGGGCTGGAATGGGTGATGTCAGGCACAGTAAAGGAAGCATTGCTTAGTTGGGCTCATAGCAGGGGAAAGAGAACTCCGAGGGCTTGGATTCTTGCTCCATTAGCAATCATGTGGGTTATTTGGAAAGAGAGAAATAAGAGGGCTTTTGAAGGGGTGGGACAAGATTTTGTAAAATTGCAAAGTAGTCTTTTGTTTCTAGTTTCTTTTTGGGGTACTTATGAGATCCCAACTTGTATAGAGGATAGGGCCTCTTTTATTGAGAATCATATTTCGGTGTAGGTTCTCTTCTTTTTGGTATACGGCTTGTATATGGGGCTTCCTCAATTGTAATGAAATTATTTACCTTTATAAAAAAAAACTGTACAATGTGTTAGATACCAAAAGTAAGAGAGCAGCAAAAGAACAAAAAAGCATATCCTTCCTAAGCATGTAGGGGTTCTAACAAATCTAGAACTGCTAACTCATTATATGGTGATGAATGTGAGATGTGTAAAATATATTTTTTTCGGAAGGAATTATTTTCTGAGAAGGTGTGTAATAATATAGTTCACATCATAAAAAAAAACCCAACCTTGTTTGTTATCTCTTTTGCTGAATCGGTCACATAAATGGCAGAATTTGGATCACTAGCAGACATTTTTCCATTCTCCCCCTGCAAATGTTCAGCAAAATGTAGAATATTAACAGAAAGGCAATGCAGAAGAATTTTTACAAGCAGACACATTAAAAATCAGAAGCTGAAACATGTGTGCACAAACTAATTTGACAAGTAACAAGGATGAGAAACAGTTGTATTTCTACTTATTTGGAATCAGACAGATTACAAGCACGGAAGTGGGCACATCAGAAAAAGAACAAAGATGAAATGAAACAACCGTTATATAGTTAGTAATCCATTTCATTTAAGTTGGAACTCAAGAATCATCTACAATTGCACTAATTAAGAACCAAATTCCACTAAGAAGAGCGTGAAAGTGGTAAAAAGAAAGGGAAAAATGAAAAAAAATATATAGATTTTATTTTGACATTTTGGAAATGTGAAAGATGATTTATTAGTCAACACACATTTCCATCTGTTAGTAGAAGACAAACATTTATATGGAGACTATTTGCAATATGGACAACAATGGTTCTAGCAAACAGTGTTCGTCCTTTGTGAAAAGGTTATTGAAGATGTGGGGCTTTGCTCGACTGAATTGAACATCTAACAAGGAAATTCTTTCTTGAGTTTCCTTGGGGACTGTCTTACACAGGCTTTATGGAATTTTCATTAAACAGTTTTTTGTAATCCAGAACTAACATTCTGAATAGATTAGCTTATTCTCTTATTTTGTAACTGTTAGCTTCCTGCTATAGCACAGACAAATGTAATGAAGCTAACAACACCTCTTTTGTACAATTTGCACCTTCTTGATGCCAGCAATGAATCTACTTACTTCATCAACAAAAAAAGAAGAAGATTAATATCGATTGAGAAGTTGATGTCTTATGGTAAGCTTAAATGTTTTTAACTTCTTTGCATATCAATTCTATGCAGGAGGCAACTAGTTTTCCTAGTCGAGAAATACTTCTCTAGCATGAAGAATCATGATCCAGATGCTAGGCACAAGCAGAATTCCAGGGAGAGAATAAAGCTTTCAGGAATGCTGCATTACTCGGTCTATACAAAAATTAAATGAATAAATTAACAAACTAGATTTATGTTTTACAGGTCTAAGACCAAAATATGCTACATTTATTGGTCTATAAGCTATGACGAAGCACATGCAGTGAACTTTCAATTTTTTGTCAATCAGAAAGATGAGAAGTTAAACAGTTCCAACTTAGACGCTGAAATACTCATATATAACCAGAATGAAGCACCAAAGCAGAAC